CCCCCCCCCCCCCCCTCATCCTGCCTGTAGAGTTTGTTTTCTCGTGATGTTCGTGATCTAACAGTAGCTCTTCTAGTAATAGCTAGCGAAAATGGTTTTCGATCACTAGGAGCCTTTTGGCGTTATAGAGATGTTGGAACCCGAAGAGGTGTAGGAATTGCCTTTCGACGTGCCAGAATCGCTGGAATATGTGAGATGGTTACGCCTAAGGGAGAATCTCGGCAAAAAACCTATAAACATTCCTACTATGGCTATAAAAAACACTGGAACTGGTCAATTTTTTCTGACCCTTTTTCAATTTGAAGCATCCAAGATCAGATCTGTCACAGTTCGGGCGCCCCAGACGTGCCTTACCCAAATGCAATACGACTGGAGGTGTACTTTTCCTTGTCGACGAGCAGTGCTCTTTGATCAGCGAGGGGATGATGGAATCTGAAGGGCATGCTAAGATACACAATCGTTTTTTAGTTTACGTCTTTTCTGCAATGCTCCCTATTAGTTCCGCCCGTCCTCGCCAACTATGAACTCATCTTGATAGATGTTCATGTCGTTTGTGTTATAGTCATTTTCACGAACCCACGTATGGCAGTGAAGGGAAGAGGGCAAGGATTGAAGAGGGGAAAGAGGAAATGACTTTGCTCAAAAGAGCAGCTTGTGAAGGCTTCTCATAAACTTCTAACCACAGTTTTTTTTCTTGAGGAGTAAAAAGGCCTACTCTGAAAGGAAGTACATAACAAATGACTCGTACTTCTATGAAGTCCTCAATGGAAGATGCCTGAACATATCTCCGTATCTCTTCTGCCTTTGACTTTTCCCTTGCATTGAATGGGCTGTTCGAGGCTATGGGAACAACCTGAATGGCAGCTGAGCTCCGGGTTTTACCGACTACCCCCTTTCCTGCCTTATAATTTCTCATAGTTGGTTTAACCATGCCTAGGGGTTCCTTATTTGTCGATTTGAGGATTTTTTTGGTTGAGGGATATCGAACTTGCCACCTTACCCGATGGGCCCACTGAATCATTAACTTCCTGAGGCCATTTGAAACATTCCCATATGCACATTGTGGCGTTGGAGCATGACCTCCGAATTGGAATCATTTTACTGCATTATCGCAATTCCGTAGGGTTTAGATCAACAATTATCGTAACCAGTTTGATTTACCGCACTGTTGACAAAGAATTCACACATTACGGCCATTTGTCATTTGGCCATGGGGAGAGAAATGTTTTTCATGAAAATTTTTCTCGGCATTCCCCTTATCACGACGAAATTCTCGGGTCTCACTTGATGGTTGATTTGTGGGGCATATTGAGGTGTTGTTTTGATCATAATTTCTATACAGAATTCCATAAAGTTGTTACTGGAAAATTGCTGAAATGGAAAGCGTTACAGCTGGATGGGGTCATTTATCATGATGGCAGGTTTGCAAATTTCTATTCATTTTATGAGATTCGTGAAAAACCCAAGAAAATCCGGTCTACCTCCTCATTTTTCAGAACAACAGTCAATGAGTCAGGGCACTGAATTTCAAGTTTGCACGTGGAAACCAAGCTTGGGTTGGAAGACCAGAAGGAAAATATCCCAGTTGCTATCACTACTCTGGTGGGGATAGTTCTCACCAGTTCGGTGACACCATCAGATTTCTGTCATCTTCAACAAAATAACTTGATGAAGTCATTTATTGGAGTTTGGGAAATCACTCGGTAAGCTTGTGCTCCCGAGCCCCTCTCCCGACTCGTCCACCTCCTCCCACAGCTCTTCCTCTTCCCTTCCGTCTTCGAAACCACTTTAGAAAT